GCGCAGAGTGATTTTAATTGGGCACTCGGTGCACGAGAAGCGCATCATCATTCACGACCTGGCCACGTATCGCCAGCGCAGGCTGGAGCACCCAGACGGCACTGAGCACTCGCTGGGCAGTGCGGTGACCGACGACCTGCTGGTGACCGCCTCCAAGAACACTGTCGCCATCTGGGACTTTGCCTCCTCTTTCTCTTCATAGACTTGAATGGTGCACGAATCACAAGTGAGGTGAGGTGGGAGTTGATGACTGTCTTCCTCTGTTGAACTGTGACATGATGGACTTGGTGAGACAGTGGTCCAAGAGGCCCAACATGTCCCAACAGACCAGCTGCAGGCATGAATGCCCAATGTCCCACAGCCACAAACCCAAGATCCCAGGAAGGCGATTTTCTTTCGCCTTTTCCTCCGGGGCGACGATGTTCGGGGATCGGAAAATGTTCGGGGTTGGCCGCACCCATCGGGACCTTCCGCCCTCTGCGTAGCGCCACAGAGATACGGCACCACGCACTCAAAGGGAACACAGAGAGACCACCATCCACACCACACATCATCACATCACACATACAATGCGAGCTTCCCGAGTCGTCAATGCCAGCGGCATCCGCGTACGCCCCTGCCATGCTTGTAGGGCCTTTAATCTCAATCGATCGGCACTCGCTACGCCAGCAAATCATCACACGATTACATGAATTTTGTGGCATTCTTCAAGTATGCTGCAGCAATTAGAAGAGTCTTCTTGCAAGAAGAAAATCATGATTGCATTGCCATCATACGTATAGTGTATATATCTCAATCTCATCTTTTCCCTTTGTCGGGGCAGAGCGCCGTCGTGGTGAGTGCCGTGAGGACCCCCGTAGGCAGCTTCGGCGGCGTGCTTTCCACCGTGAGCGGCCCCCGCCTCGCCGCCGCCTGCATCACCGCCGCCCTCCAGCGCACCCAGGGCGGTACCATTGCCCCCCCCCCTGCTCACCAGTTGTTGACACCCGGGGCTAACTGCCGAGTGGGTGGTCGTGACGACCTGTGCAGGCCAGGTCGACGCTGCCGAGGTCACCGAGGCCATCATGGGTAACGTCATCTCCGCCAACGTCGGCCAGGCCCCCGCTCGCCAGGCCGCCATCCTCGCCGGTACGCCCACAACCTACCCATGCGTGCGCGTGCGGTGGTGCGTGTGCGTGTGCGGTGGTGTGTTCTTACCAGGCGGCGTGTTGCATGGGCGCAGGGCTGAAGGAGAGCACGGTGTGCACGACGGTGAACAAGGTGTGCGCGTCGGGCATGAAGGCCATCATGTACGGCGCCCAGTCCATCATGCTGGGCCACCACGAGGTCGTCATCACCGGCGGCTTCGAGTCCATGTCCAACGTGCCCTACTATCTCGAGAAGGCCAGGTAACAACACGCGACACCACACACACACACACACGACACACACACGACACACACGACACACACACCGCGCACCACACAACACTAACCGCACACGACCGTGGTGATGATCAGGACTGGTTACCGTTACGGCCACGGGCAGCTGATCGACGGCGTGCTGAAGGACGGCCTCACCGACGCCTACGACGGTCAGCACATGGGCATGTGCGCCGAGAAGTGCGCCAAGGACCACGGCTTCACGCGGGAGCACCAGGACGAGTACGCGGTGACGGCCTACCGCCGCGCGGCCGAGGCCTGGAAGCAGGGCTGGTTCAACGACGAGGTCGTGCCCGTTTCGGTGCCCGGCGGTCGCGGCAAGGAGACCGTCGTCGCCGAAGACGAGGAGTACAAGAAGGTCAACTTTGACAAGATCTCTTCCCTCAAGCCCGCCTTCCACAACGAGGTGCGCGCTCTCTCTCCTGTTTTCTGTGTGCGTGTGCGGTGGTGCGTGTGCGGTGCGTGCGGTTGGGGTCCCAACACCACACACGTCGGTGGCGGCGTGCGACAAACCTCGTGGCACGTTCGCCTGGTCACACGTCACGTGTGGGAAATCAAAAACCAACTCGCGCGCCTCCTAAAGTGCGGAGAGAGCGCGAGCGGGCGAAAGGCGGAAAGGGGCCCTTTTCCTTTGTTTGTTTGCTCTGTGCGCCCGCAGGCGGCCCTTTTTTGCGTTTAATCGCCGGCCAATCCGTTTTAGCGGATGCGCGCCCCACACGCGCTTCCGTCATTGTTTTGGCCACAGCGCACGATATTTTTATTATTTATGAGATTTTTATATTATTTCTTATTTCTTATTATTATTTATTATTTATTATTTACTGATTTGTGTCGTTGTGTGCGGCGAGAGTAGGGTACGGTCACGGCTGCCAACGCGTCTTCGCTGAACGACGGCGCATCGGCGATGCTGCTGATGAGCGAGGAGAAGGCCAAGGCCCTCGGCCTCAAGCCCCTCGCTAGGATCCTCGGCTTTGCCGATGCTGAGCAGGCGCCCATCGATTTCGCCACCAGGTACGCTGACAGTGTATACACCGCACACGCACTCACCGCACGCGCACTCACCGCACACATATCTAAACCGTGCGTGTGGCGTGCAGTCCCTCGCTGGCCATCCCCAAGGCGCTGAAGCACGCCGGCGTGGAGGCCAAGGACGTCGACTACTGGGAGATCAACGAGGCCTTCTCCGTCGTCGCCCTCGCCAACGCCAAGGTTTGTGTTTCGTTTCGTTTCGTTTTGTTGTGTTTCGTTTTTTCCCTGCGTTCTCGCCTCCACCAACGTAACTAACGTGGTCGTGTGCCGTGTGTGTTGTACATACTGCGTGTGTGTCGTGTCGTGTGTTGTGTGCAGCTTCTGGGCATTTCGCTGGACCGTCTGAACGTGCACGGCGGTGGCGTGTCGCTGGGCCACCCCATCGGTTCGTCGGGCGCTCGCATCGCCGTCAGCCTCACCCACATCCTCCGCCAGAAGGTATTATCATTACTATCTGCAGATATTATTCTTTTTATGATAGTTGTTTTCTCTTCTGTCGCTCACACGACACACGACACACAACACGACAGGGCGGCCGGATTGGTGTGGCGTCGATCTGCAACGGCGGCGGCGGCGCTTCGGCCATCGTCATCGAGAAGCTGTAATACCCTGTAGTGCATGTTTGTATGTCATCGTGGTGACCAGGTCTCCGCGTCAAAAGCAAAAAGAGTGTTTGTTGTTAGCGCCCTTCATGTGTGCCTTCATGTTAACATTCATGTGTTTTTTCTTAATGTTGGTGCCCCACTGCACTTCTATGCTGGTCCAGCATGGCGTACAAGTCTTGTGACACCTCTGGGTGCAGCTTGCGGGCAAAGACGCAATCTGACTCCACCATCACTTGGAGGTCCTGTGGACCCAAGAAGCAGGGGTACTGATGGGGTGCCTCAGGCTTCTGTTGTTGAGAAGTGGAAACATAGGACATCATCATCACCATCAGATCGTTATCAGATGTGGCACAACTTGCAGTTTGTACCAGGTACAGGCACGCATCCCATCGGTGGTATCGACAGACAGGTCTTCCGTGCTAAGGAATTGGGTGAGGGAGGGGTAAGTTGAAAGAAATGCAAACAAGCAAAAAAAAGGTGTCAAGAGGTACCCTTTGGTACCCCACGGTGCTGTTGAAGGGGCTGTTCATGAGCACGATCTGGAAGAACGACTCGTCGGCAACGTCTGCCTTGCCGCTGCCCATGGCCAGCAGCACATTGCGGGCCCGGGCAGAAGAGAGTGTGTACTCCACAAACTCGCGGGTGAGGATAAACCACTGGTGTTGTGTGGTAGTTGAGGGTCCATGTGTGGGTCTCTGCCAAGAACGAACAGGCGTACCTGGGACCCGTATTGGTCAGGCTCGGCGACCCCCGTAGGCCAAGTGACGTTGGCCAGTCGCGCGAGCTTCAATTCGGGCACCTCGTTGGCCCTCTGCGGCCTTGTGCCGGGGTCGGTCACGAAGTTGGCCCCGCGCCAGTGGGCCAACCGCTCGGCCAGCTCCGCCTGTCCCACGAGAGGGTACGTGTCGCCCGACAAGTTGATCGCGTAGTCCCACTTGCCGAGGCCCAGCAGCTCCTGCAGTCCGTCAAGCTCGTTCTGCACGAGCCCCAGCGTGCCCCACCCCGAGAGCACGTTGGTGGTCATGGCCCGCACGTTGGCGCTGCCGTGGAAGACGGCGGCGGGCGAGCCCAGGAACTCGTCGAGCCTGAGCCGCCCGAGCTCGTCCGTGCTCTGGTCCACGACGTAGAGGTAGAAGAAGTCAGGGCGCCATATGGCCGGCAGCAGGCGCTGCGAGGCCAGCACGGACTCGTCGGAGTGCACGAGGATGAGGTAGGCCACCTTGAGCCCCGAGCGGCTGTCAACCGCCTGCGTGGTGGCCCATTTTGAGCGAGCGGACCAAGAAAGCAAACCCTCAAGTTGGGGGGGGTTGGACCTGGTATTTGAGTAGCCCCACTATGACGCTGTAGAGAAGGAAAAAGGAGACGACAAGGAGGAGGAGAGACCTGAAGCGCATCGACAACGCTCTGGCCACCGTGGTGTCACACGGTGCCCACTACAACTGCTCTTCTTCTTCTCGAGGTGGAAAGCGAACACGTCATCACACCTTAAAAGGTATAAAACTAACTTTTGACCTTTTTCGGACTTGAAGGGGAAGCTCATGCCGCGGAATTAGGCAAAGTTGATGGCCACGGTCTTGGAGTGGGTGAAGTGCTCCAGCATGGTCTCGAGCGAGCCCTCGCGGCCCAGGCCCGACACCTTCCACCCGCCCACCGGCAGATTGGGCTGCACCACCGCGTTCTGGTTCACCTGCACCACACCTTCACTCCCCCAGCCCAGGGATGTCATCAGCCTGCAGCGTCGGACGTCTGCGGCGACGATGGCAGGTCGCGTACCGGCTTCGAGCTTGCGGGTGGCGTGGAGGGCCTTCTGGAGGTCGTTGGTCCACACGCTGGCCGACAGGCCGTACTCGGTCGAGTTGGCCTCGTCCAGCACCGCGTCGAAGTCGTTGAACTGTCGCACACGACACACGACACACACCCGAATCAACGACCGCGTGTGCGTGTGCGTGTAGTGCGCGTCGTGTGCGGTACCTTGAAGACGCAGGTGACGGGGCCGAAGATCTCCTCACGCGCCACGCGCGACTGGTTGGAGATGCCCGTGAACACCACCGGCCTCACGTACAGACCCTGCACCACGACGCGTGAGCACACCACACAACGCGCGCACGACACACACGACACGACACGACACACACGACACACACGACACACACGCACATACCTTGCTGAGCGAAGCGTCGGTGGGGAGGGCGGAGCATTCGTGGGCGGTGGCGCCCTGCTCGCCCTTGCCCAGGGCGATGTAGCGCTGGATCTTGTCCAGCTGGGGCTTCGAGATCACCGTGCCGATGTCGGTCGCCTCGTCCAGCGGGTCGCCCATCTACACCCCACCGCACACGCCGCACACACCGCACACGCTCGGTTAGCAGTGTTTCGACGAAGGAGAGGGGGAGAGGGAAAGGTGCCTTGAGGGCGTTGATCTTCTCGGTGAGGGCAGCGACGAACTTGTCGTGGATGGCCTCGTGCACATAGATGCGGCTCGCCGCCGTGCACGATTGACCTTGGTTTTGCGGGAGGGGGGGGGGAATCACAACATGTTCAGCGCGCGTGTGCGTGTGCGGTGGTGCGTGTGCGGTGGTGCGTGTGTCAAGTGCGTGTGCGTGTGTCGAGTGTCGAGTGCGTGTGCGGTAGGTACCCTGACGAGTGAAGCGCATGGAGAGAATGGCGCCGTTGACGGCCTTCTCGAAGTTGGCGTCCTCCAGCACTGAGGCCGTGGGTCAGCACAGGCCACGACTACTAAAACGTGGGGGCGGCGGCGGCTGCAGCGGTGTATGTTCTTTTTCGGTACCGATCATGGGCGACTTGCCTCCCAGCTCGAGCGTGACCGGGATCAGCTTCTCCGCAGCCTGCCTGCATTGTCATAAACAAAAAAGAAAAAAGAAAAAAGAAAAAGAAAAGGAATTACGATGGAAAAGAAGAAAAGAACAAAAGGGCTTTTGGGCGTCAGTTGGTGTACTTGTAGATCTCGCGTCCGGTGTCGACGGAGCCGGTGAAGGTGACCTTCTTCACCAGCGGGTGCCTCACCAGCGGAGTACCCGCCTGCTTGCCGTATCCTGCACCGCGCACGCACGCGTGTGAGTGTCGTGCGTCCAAAGGTGTGTGCGTGTGCGGTGCGTGCGTGTGCGTGATGTACCTGAGACCGTGCTGACGAGACCGGAAGGCAGCACCTGGTTGAGGAGCTCCGTCACGCGCAGCACACCTGGTGCGAGCACCCCACAACACGACCGACGACCGGTTAGGTTACAAACAACGAAAAAGAACGAAGAACGAAAAGAAAAAAATGAACGAAAACGGCGCCAGGCTGGAGGGGAGAGCATGGGGGGCGCACCGAAGGGGGCGGCCTCGGCGGACTTGAGGACCACCGCGTTACCGGCCACGAGAGCGGGCGCCAGCTTGAGCGCAAAGAGCAGCAGCGGTGCGTTCCACTACAACGCGACGACGACCAAGAAATGGGTTTTTACTCCATTATGAGTGTCTTGTCGTGTTGCGTGTTGCGTGTTGCGTGTTGCGTGTTGCGTGTGCGTGTGCGGTGCAGTGGGTGTCGTGAGTGCGGTCGACGTACGGGAATGATGGCGCCGACGACGCCGACGGGTTCGCGGGAGGTGTAGGTGAGGACGCTGGGGTTGAAGGGGATGGTCTGGCCCTTGATCTCCGGCGCCAATCCGCCGAAGAAGCTGAACGTGTCCGAAATCAGACCCGCCTCGACCCTGCTCTCCGTACGAATCGCCTGTGCGGTGCGTGCGGTCGCGCGTGTGCGGTGTGTGCGATGAAGCGTGTCGTGCGGTGTGTGCGGTGAGTGTTGTCCCGGCGGGGAGGGCGCCTTACATGGGTCGTTGGGTACCTTGCCGGTCTCGAGGGAGGTGAGCTGGGCGAGCTCCTCGACGTGGGCGCGCAGCACCTCGCCGCACTTGGCCACCAGGGCACCGCGAGCTCTGTTTCCGCGCCCAAAAAACGTGAGCCGCAACTGCTGTGTCGTGTGGTCGTGTGTGTGTGTGTGTGTGCGGTGTAAAGCTGGGTCGTGCCGCACCGCACGGACTGCTCGCGCCACTCCTTCTGGGCGCGCGAGGCCAGGGTGACGGCGTCGTTGATGTCGGCCTCATCGCCTGGCACATGTGTCGTCGTCGGCCTGATCAGCACAAACAGTTCAAACCTTTCCAGCATTTGGACGCACCGAGGGCGGCGTGGCCGATGGTCTCGCCGGTGGCCGGGTTGTGGACGTCGAACACGGCTCCGCTCTTGGCCGGTCGCAGACCACCGATGAAATGCTTGCCTGCAGGTGACGGACAAAAATAGATAATTAAATAAATTAAAAAAATAAAATAATAAAGGAGTAAAATTCGTCGTTCTAATAAGGCATAGTAATAATATGAATATAAGAATCTAAAACAGAGAGGTCCTGCGAGAGAGCGCAGACGGTACCGGAGAGTCGTTGAGCGAGCGCCAAAGGAGCGGCCGCGCGATCCCTGTGGTGAATTTTTAGACCCAAGATTAAGTACTCAATAAGATCTTAATTAGAAGTGAAAGCAAACGTACGACTTGGTGGCAAAGCTTCGGATACCGAGGACGCGCGAGGCGGAAGTGGAGGTGGAGGAAGAAGTGGAGGTCCGGAGCATGGTCGCCATCTTTACACAACGAACCACCAAAACGAACAGAGAGAAAAAACCAAAAGAAAAGCAAAGCGAGAATTCTGTGCGACCTGGTTGTGGAGGATGGCAAGGGCTTATCACCCAAACGCCAATGAGGAAGAACACCACACAGGAAGAGCTTTTGATGCAAAGAATATGTTCATGCATGCACTTGTATACATAATACATATACTACACTTAAAAGACACATGTCATCATTATCATTCACCTGCCCTATAAATCAAAAAGGTCAAATCTCACAATTTTAGCACAACAAAATGGCCACAGTCATTTGTGACCTCTCATTCCAAATGACTGCAAGTTTATGGTCATTTGTGACCTCTCATTTCAAATGAGCACAAATTATTGGTCATCTTTGGTCCCCCTGATGCATTATGACCTTGCAGTTGCTACTGTCATTGTATTGTTGTTCTTGACCCTCCCATTTTTCACCAACCTTCTCTTGTGCTTGCTGCCCTTCCTATTGTCATCATCTTCCCCTGACTTGCTGTTGGCTGTGGTGCTCTTGGATCACTTCCTTGTGAACTCCTTATGGTCAGGAGGTGCTCCTTTCCTGTCTGGGGAGTCATTGTAGGGGATCTGGGGGTGTACTTTGAGTGTGTTCTGGCTACTCATCTTCCCATTAGCTGGTAGGATGGGGAGAGGTAAAGGATGGTCCAAAGGCAATGATGAGAAGGATGCTGATGGTGTGTTTGTCTTTCTTTGCCAAGTAGAAGAGAGTGTTGAGTGTAGAGCCATGGCAAGAGCCACTGGTGGATGTGCTGCACTTGTGATTTAGTGATGTGGAGGGCAAGTGCAAGGAGGAGGTCTACAGGGTGATGCCAAAAAAAATAAAATTAAAATTAATTCTTCTCCTGGCAGAGGGAGGGTGTGAGATGGTGATTGCTGTAGATGTGCAGTGTAGAGGCTCATCCTCAGATCCATTGGTGAAGATGTCAATGTTGCTGTCACTGTCAGTCTTCTCAGTGGTGATGAGCTGGGTCAGGATGTGCTGCATGTTGCTGCATTCTTCTGTGTCCACCAGATGTCCTTTCTTGTTGAGGAGGATCTTTCTAGTAGTTGCCAATGTGGATATGTGGGATGCCCACAGTCTTGGGTCCTCTTCATGTTGCAGAGGATGCACTTCTTGCCCATGAGCTGGGCTGAGTTCAGCAATGCTGGTCTGGTGCATGCTTTCTCCCTGTTTCCTTTTCTTCTCCAGTGGCAGTGTGGTGGGTGTGAGGAGTGGTGAGGGTGGCAGTGAAGTCTGGTCAGCTGAGGCAGGAGCAGATGCCAAGGAGCAGGTGCAGTGGTGGGTTTGCTTGCCACCACATGCAGAACAGGTGCACAGAGGGGTGATGCTGTTCATCTCACAGTGCTCAACATAGCAGTGAGGGAAGTGGTTTACAGAAGTAGCACTCAATTATCACCATGGTGTGGGAGAAGATCTTTTCCTCTTTGATTGCTTTTGGATGCCTTGGGAAGCCACTGTTCACCTTCTTCCTCTTCCTCCACCCCTTCCTCCACCTCTGCCTCCTCTTCCACCGCCACCACCGCCTCCCCTACCGCCTCCGCCTCCTCGGCCAGCGCCTCCACCACCTCGGCCGCCGCCGCTGCCGCCGCCGCCGCCGCCGCCGCGGTTGAGCTCATGCCGGCCATTCTGGTGTTGTTGGCCCGGCCAGACTTCATCCGCATCTGCAGCTTCTTGACGCGCTTCTTCTCCTTTCCGATCTGCTCGGCGCCGCGCAGCTCGCTGCGCCCGCCGGTCGAAGCGGCCTTGGGCGCCTTGTGGCGGTACTTGCCGCCTTCGACCGGCACCGCCCGCACCGTGGTCTCGTCGTCGCCCACGCTCGGGATGTGGGCTCGCGTCTTCTCCGTCCACTTCTTGTAACTGTTGTTCACCACCGCACACACCGCACACGCACCACCGCACGCACACGATGATGGTAAGTTCCCGTGGTGTAAAGGTGTGTGCGGTGGCGTGTGCGGTAGGAACTACGTACATGGAGATCTTCTTGGTGCCGTCGACGTTGGTGCCGGATTCGTTCTTGAACTTGAACCCGCCCTTCTTCTCCTTGGCCTCGAGCGAAGCCGCCGTCACGAAGCGCTTCCTCTTTCGGTCCCACCTGTGTGTGCGCACAAACCACACGCGACACGCATCGACGGTGGTGAGCCACGAGACCAATGCCTACATTTATATATTATATATAATATATTATATATTCTATGCTGGGCATGCTCGTACCGCATGGCGTTCTTGTTCTTCATCATGGTCTGCTTGTCGTCGCTCATCAGGTCCATGGCCACGTCGCCCATCAGTCCTCGCGAGTCGTCACGCACCGACAGCCTAATTTATTATAATAATATATTTTTGACATAAATGTGTTAAAAGATACACTCAAACACATCGATAATATAAATACAGTTGTTTCAATAAAGAGATAAATATTTCAATGTAACACAACAAAGGCGGGGTGGGTGGCGTACGCGTCTTCCTTGGCTCTGCCCTGCTGGAACATGGGGATGAAGTACTCCTCGTCCCTGAACGTCTCCGGCTCGCGCTTGCGCTTCTTGACTGAGTTGTGTTCGGCGGCGCTGCTGCGCTTGCTCGTCTCGACGACAGCGTCGTTCTCGTTCTCGTCCTCGTCCTCCTTGGCGATGGCCTGCGACAGCGCCTCGTCGTCGGCCTCGGTCTGCATCTTCTCGGTCAGCTCCTGCTGCTGGCCGTCGATCCGCCGCTTGATCAGTTCGTCGTGCTGCTCCCGCTTGTGCTTCATCACATCCAACGCTCCTGCACAATTCGCGCAATTTAGTTATTTTCATTCATTTATGCACCGCACACACATGCGCACACGCACGCACACGCCGCACACGCCAGCGCACACGCACGTACCCTGTCCGGTGAGGGCAGCGGCACCGCGGCGCTTGGAGCCGACGTCGCCGTGCTGCATCTCGAGCACGGTCTGGGGCGGTCGGAACTTCTTGAGGCTCGAGATGAAGTCGATGGCCTCGACCTGCTCCTTGGCCACCACGCCGAAGCGCGCCAGGCACGGGTGGAGCCCGTCCGACGGCAGCTGCTTGGCGCGCTTGACCGACTCCGGCGACGGCGCCGTGCGCGTGCGGTGGTACTGCTTGTACGCGTTCAGCGTCACCTTGTACAGCGCTTGCTGTTGTGTGCGATCGTGCGCGTGCGGTGTGTGTGTGTCGTGTCGTGTCGTTAGTGACAGAAGTGAAGACGAGCGAGGGCGGTGGTGAGCATGTACGAGGTCGGAGTGATTGTTGAGAGAGTTGAGCACGAATTCAGAGTAGAAGGAGATGGTGTCGGTCGGCAGCCGGCCGTAGTAGACCTCGCTCTCGTGGTACTCCTCGCCCTCCGGCACCACGTGCTTAGGCTTCCACCCCATGAACAGGTGCACGTCCAGCATGTACGCCAGCTATGTGTGTCGTGTGCGTGAGACACTCACACTCAGCTCCCCGACCGTGTGGTGTGTGTGTGTGTGATGTGTGTAAGGTTGTACCTCGTCGGGCGAAACGAGCGAGTAGGCAGTACCGGACCTGCCTGCACGGGCCACACGACCCACGCGATGCACGAAGAGCTTGGGCCGCGCCGGGAAGTCGTAGTTGATGACGTAGTCCAGCTGCGGGATATCGAGACCGCGCGCGGCGACGTCCGTCACGAGCAGCACGCGCGCCTGGCCGTTGCGGAAGCGGGTGAGGTTGAGCTTACGCGCCGTCTGGTCCATCGTGCCGTAGACCGAGGTCACGCTGATGTCGCCCAATCGCAGCAGCTCCTGCAGGTACTCCACGTGGTGCCGCGTCGCCACGAACACGACCGCGCCCTGTGACACACGACACACGACACACGTCACACAGTTCATCAGCAATCTGACCGCGTGTGCGATGGTGTGTCGTATCGTGTCGTGGTGTGTCGTTCGTGTCGTGCAGCGTACGAGGTCTTGAGGGATGATGGCCTTCATCATCCAAAGGAGGGTGGCGGCCTTCTCTTCGGCGCGCACGGTGAAGAAGACGTTGCGCAGGTGTTCGGAGACGGTGATGTCGGTGTCGAGTCGGATGAGCGAGGGCTGCGTGAGACCGGCCCGGGCGAACTCGACCAGCGAGCTGGGCAGCGTGGCCGAGAACAGCAGCGTCTGCCGACCTTCGCCCAGCCGGCCCATGATCTCCTTGAGCTGCTCCGCGAAACCCATCTCGAACAGTCTGCAATTATGAAAAAAAAACATCAAATTACAAAACAGTAACTATAATAAATAAAATGTTGGCATTATTATAATAAATAAAGAAACAAGAAAAATACCTGTCTGCTTCATCGAACACGACGTATTGGACGGACTTGAGGCTCATCTCCACCTCGAGCAGGTGGTGAAGCAGACGACCGGGAGTGGCGATCATTCTGTGGCGACGATCGTGGTAAGTCATCACGTGGTGTAAGTGTACAATGACACACACACGCACACAACACGACACACACACACACACACGACACACACACACACAAGAAAGAGAGAAGTGTACATGTCGGGGTTGTGGGTGAGCTGGCTGAACTGGTCCTCCATGTTGTCGCCACCGATGAGGCAGCAGTAGCGCAGGTCGGTGAAGTGGCCCAACTCCTTGCAGAACTTGAGGGTCTGCAGGGCCAGCTCGCGGGTGGGCGACAGGATGAGGCCGCGGGCGCCGAACTGGAACGAGTGCTTCTGGAGCTTGTGCAGCATGGGCAGGACGAAGGCGGCGGTCTTACCGGAGCCCGTGCGGGCCATGGCCACCACGTCGGAGCCGCCCATGATGATGGGCACGGCCTTACGCTGGATGGGCGTGGGCACCTTGTAGCCCTTGCGCAGCACGGCCTTCAAGATCTCGTATGAGAGACCTGATTGGTTTGTGCATGATGATGATGATGATGGCGATGATGATCGAAGTACAATAAAAGTTAATCGTCAGAAAATCGCTAATCTCGGCCAGACAAAATCGAGCGGAGAGAATTGAGTGTTTGAAAT